TTGAGAGTATGATCTTATATTAAATATATTTAAATAAGTAAATGAATGAGTCTTTTTTTTTTCCAACCAAAGAATCAATCAAGAAGTATTGAATCAATACTTCTTGATTGGGGGGTGGGGGGGGGAGATCGTAAGGGGGAGGAAGGGCGACAGGGGTCGGGTCGTGCAGAAGAGGAGAAGAAGAGGAAAAGCAATAGGGAGAAGATCGAGAGGGGGGGATGAAAGGCACGTGGGGGGGGGAAGATCGAGAGTCGGGGAGGGGAGGTTGCACGGGAGCGGAATCGGAGTTGCGACAAAGAAGAAGAAGAAGAAAAAGAAGAAGATAAGAAGAAGAAGAGAAAGAAGAGAAAGAAGAAGAAGAAGAAGAAAAGAATAAAAAAAATAAAAAAAGAAAATTGTCGTCGATTACTTATTTGCGCGGAGGTAGCAACGACGATGACGAGGATGGATCGGCGCGTCGACAAGGACGACGGGCACGGCGATGGCGATCGCGACGGTGACGATGATAACGTGGCACGATGGCGATGACGATGATGACGTGGCACGACAGCGACGATCATGCACAAGTGGTTAACGGGGACCCCCACTTTTCGGCCCTGAGTAACCCTGAATGATCCTGAAATTAGGGTTTCGGGGTCGAATTTTGTGTTTTTTTGGATTTTTTTTTTTGCCTGTTTTTGTTTTTGGACAAGCTGGCTGTGTGTCAAATTTGGTGTCATTAGGGTTATCAGAATTTGTGTTGTTGATGATCCTGAAAATCCTGAAATTTCGATGAATTGTTTTTGGGCAAAATTGCCTGAAAATGCACTTTTGAGGTGCTGTTTTATGTGTTTTTAATTTATTTTTTTTTGTTTTTTTTTTATAATGTGTTAGTAAGAAATGGCCTTATGGGTTTCTTATAAATTGAGGTGAAAAATGGGGGGTCGGTTAACCGGCTCTCCGATCATGACGATGACGATGATGACATGGCACGACGGCGACGATCACGACGATGACGTGGCACTACGACAACGATCACGACGATGATGCTGATGATGGCCAGGTGGTGACGACGAAGCAGGGTGGGGCGGGCGGGTTCGAACCGCTCCGATACCAGTGTGACGAGCGCAAGGCTGAGGGAGAGTCGAGAGAGAGGAGAGAGAGAGGGAGAGAGTGAGAGCACACACACACACTCACTCACTCGACACGACTAAGGGTCGGATGCAGACACAGTGGCAAGGGCACAAGGTCGAAGTCTTGGATTCCGAATGTCGAAACAACAAGCCACACTGAGTACGAGTACAGTAGCTGAAAACTGGTACGAGACTGGTCCCCGTACTGTACGGGGAGCCAGTATAAGTACCGGTGATACATACAGTACCAGGGGCATTTTCGCAAAAGCCTCCGAGGGCAGAATTGAAGAATGCGGTATTTGAAAGTGGCGCCCGAATTGCAGCATGGCGCCAGTTGTCCAAAATCTGACGGTACCAAAGGAGGGGTTTGGAAGGGTGCCAGGCCGAAAACGGGATGCAGCAGAAACAGCAAAAAGATAGACCAGGGATCGAGCCCTGGCGGAGTTCGTAAAACCAACCCTCCCTGCAAGGCGGGCACACCTCATGTGCTACCTTGTGCCATGGTTATGTGTCACAACTTCTCACTGGGAGAAACAAATAGAGAAGGCCAGTAGGCCCCCACCACAGGCTGGTGGAGGAAGGCATACCAACTCTCCCAATCTGCATAATGCAGATTTGCAGCACAATTCAACACACTGCAGGTCATGGAAGTGCAGCCCCGAGCATGGAAGACCACATATGTTATGCACCGTAAACCACTCGCTTGGCATGTCCATTGCCTGCATGAAAACTCTTTAGGCCAAGGAAGGCCTTAGGCTACCATGAGTGCAACATGATCTTAAGAAGCTTCTCATGGCACAAATCTATCGGTCATGAAGCCGTATGAATGGGTAGGATCAGACTGATATCTCTAATACTCTAAAGGAAATAGAGGGTCTCGTGTGAGCGTCCCACGTGAGCCCCCGTTCACAGTGTTGGGAAAGTATGAAATGGGCCCACAGCCCGTGAGGGGAGCGGCCGAGCAGGCCCCCGCGCCCGACTTTTGTTTCCAGTTTGGCGGCGAGTGTTCAAACATCATTTTCCGCAGTTCTTTTTTTTGCGCCCGACTATCATTTCGAGTCTGGCGGTGAGTGATCAAATATTGTTTTTCCGTGATTTTGTTTTGAGTCTGGCGGCAACTGTTCGGGCAGAGGTTGGTTTGGGCCCGTGTGAATGGATTTTGGGTGGCGCGCTTGTGCAACAATCGTGTGGAACACTCGGGCAGAAGGCTGCTGTTGGCGAAGTTTTATGAACAGGCCCAACATGGTCTTTTTTGGCCGCGGGTTTGTGGACTGAATCTACAAGTGTGGCAATGTGTATTTCCATGTTCTAGCGGAAGATTCATTCAATTTTGTTCATCCTATCAATGGAAGTAGCATGAGGCCAGCCGCAAGGTTGGAGACTTACCTGTTCTCTCTCCCTCTCTCTGTCTCTCTCTCTATATCTCTATCGATGGAAGTAGCCTCTCTCTATGGGCCTTGCTCCACTACTGTCCGCTATACGCATTTGTGAACCGTTCATGGACAGTAGTCAGAGAGTTCAAAATTGGGGAAAACTCGGCATCGCTCCACTTCCTGTCCGCTGTACACCTCTCAAATTCGCAAGTTCACTGCCAGATGTAGTGATAGAACTACAAGACAGGGCGTCCATAGGGTTTTGTCTGCCCAGAATCTAGGTGCACTCTCCAAATTCAGGTCCTCACGGTGAGTCCCTTGAAGGACTTTCCGAGTAAGGAATTTTGCAGGCTGGTAGTTGTATATTCACGGATAGTAAATTTTCCCCGGGATTCCTGACGACTGTCCAAGGCGTTTTGCACATGTACAGCGAACAGTAAGTGGAGCGACGTCTGACTGTCCGTTTGTGTACAGTGGACAGTAGTGGAGCAGGTCCTACCTCGTTGCGCTCATGGCTGGAAAGCAGTGCATACTCGGGCAGCCTTTATGGCATTTAGTTAGCTGCGCGTATTTATTTTATTACTACGAAGTTTCGCCTCCGCTCGAAACTTACAGGCACAGGCTTAGTGCCATTTAATGAGTAACCAAAAATAAAGGAGAAGGATATATGAAAAAAAAAGTGAGGACGTCGGGGGAGGATTCCACCAGCGGAGTAGATCGGGGGTACTGGGAAGAAGGCATCACGAGGGAGCCGAAGTAGTTTAGGATAGTACTGACCCACGCAGGACAGAAGAAGAGAGAGGAACACAGGGCAGAGAGGAACGGAGGGACACCGAGCCCACCCAGGCGTTGCTGGATCAGTACGAACGGGGAAGCACAGGGCGAGAAGAGAAAATAAAATTGGGGGAGGGATTCACGACCGAAGAAGAGAGAGGAACGGATAACGAAGGTGCTGGATCGGTGCAAACGGGGAAGCACGGGGCAAGAAGAAAAAATAAACCGAGATCAGGGGAAGGGAAGAAGGTCAGGGAGGGTGCTGGGAAGAGGGTCACGAGGGAGAGGGGAAGACAAAGAAAGAGGGTGGGATTGAAGGGAAGGACAGCGCTGATGGTCTTGGAATTTGGACGTCGGGGGAGGATTCCACCAGTGGAGTAGATCGGGGGTACTGGGAAGAAGGCATCACGAGGGAGAGGGGAAGATAAGGCAAGAGGGTGGGAGGAAGATCGAAGGAAAGGACAGCGCCAATGGTCTCGGGAGTTGGATTTTGGGGGAGGGTTTCATGGCCGAAGTAGTTTAGGATAGTACTGACCCACGCAGGACAGAAGAAGAGAGAGGAACGGAGGGGAGAGAGGAACGGAGGGAAGAGAAGAACGGAGGGACACCGAGCCCAACCAGTCCTTGGTGTTGCTGGATCAGTACGAACAGGGAAGCACAGTGTGAGAAGAGAAAATAAACCGCGATATTAAATGACAAATAACTAAAAGCGTGATAAATACGTACTAAGTGCAATAACTAAATTAAAATAAAATAAAACACAATAAACCGCAAAACATTAAAACACACGGCACCATGAGGCCAATCAGCAGGCTGCAACCGGCTCACAAACGGCTGGATTCAATGCTGGTCTACAGTGGGGCAATG